GGTATCAGTCACCCCAGACCCATCGACGAAATCATAGGCGTGCTCCGGCGGCCACAGTCAAACGCAGAGGGTGCTAATTGCCGAGACGACGTAACACGGAGCCGAGGGCGGAGTACATCCCTGTCGGCAACAGACGGCGGAAAGGCAGCGCGCGACGACTGCAAGCACGAGACGAGGAAATCCTACAATTCACCGAACAGTCAAAAATACCCACGGTGCTGCATTCTTGCAGAGTCAAAAACCCACGGTGCTGCATTCTTGCAGAGTCAAAAACCCACGGTGCTGCATTCTTGCAGAGTCAGAAAACCCACGGTGCTGCATTCTTGCAGAGTCAAAAAAACCCACGGTGCTGCATTCTTGCAGAGTCAAAAAACCCACGGTGCTGCTTCTTGCAGAGTCAAAAACCAAAAAACCCACGGTGCTGCATTCTTGCAGAGTCAAAAACCAAAAAAACCCACGGTGCTGCATTCTTGCAGAGTCAAAAAAACCCACGGTGCTGCATTCTTGCAGAGTCAAAAAACCCACGGTGCTGCTTTCTTGCAGAGTCAAAAACCAAAAAAAACCCACGGTGCTGCATTCTTGCAGAGTCAAAAACCAAAAAACCCACGGTGCTGCATTCTTGCAGAGTCAAAAAACCCACGGTGCTGCATTCTTGCAGAGCCAAAAAACCCACGGTGCTGCATTTTTACAGAGTCAAAAACCAAAAACCCACGGTGCTGCATTCTTGCAGAGTCAAAAACCAAAAAACCCACGGTGCTGCATTCTTGCAGAGTCAAAACCAAAAACCCACGGTGCTGCATTCTTGCAGAGTCAAAAACCAAAAAACCCACGGTGCTGCATTCTTGCAGAGTCAAAAACCAAAAAACCCACGGTGCTGCATTCTTGCAGAGTCAAAAAACCAAAAAACCCACGGTGCTGCATTCTTGCAGAGTCAAAAACCAAAAACCCACGGTGCTGCATTCTTGCAGAGTCAAAAAACCAAAAACCCACGGTGCTGCATTCTTGCAGAGTCAAAAACCAAAAACCCACGGTGCTGCATTCTTGCAGAGTCAAAAAACCCACGGTACTGCATTCTTGCAGAGTCAAAAAACCACGGTGCTGCATTCTTGCAGAGTCAAAAACCCACGGTGCTGCATTTTTTGCAGAGTCTAAAAACCCACGGTGCTGCATTCTTGCAGAGTCAAAAACCCACGGTGCTGCATTTTATTGCAGATAAAAACCCACGGTGTTGTGCTTAGTGCAGTTAAAATCCACAGTGTTGTTCTTATTGCGGTTAAAACCCACGGTGTTGTGCTTAGTGCAGTTAAAAACCCACGGTGTTGTGCTTATTGCAGTTAAAAACCCACAGTGTTGTTCTTATTGCGGTTAAAACCCACGGTGTTGTGCTTAGTGCAGTTAAAAACCCACGGTGTTGTGCTTATTGCAGTTAAAAACCCACGGTGTTGTGCTTAGTGCAGTTAAAAAACCTACGGTGTTGTGCTTAGTGCAGTTAAAAACCCACGGTGTTGTGCTTAGTGCAGTTAAAAACCCACGGTGTTGTGCTTATTGCAGTTAAAAACCCACGGTGTTGTGCTTAGTGCAGTTAAAAACCCACGGTGTTGTGCTTAGTGCAGTTAAAAACCCACGGTGCTGTGCTTACTGCAGTTAAAAACCCACGGTGTTGTGCTTATTGCAGTTAAAAAACCCACGGTGTTGTGCTTAGTGCAGTTAAAAACCCACGGTGTTGTGCTTAGTGCAGTTAAAAACCCACGGTGTTGTGCTTACTGCAGTTAAAAACCCACGGTGTTGTGCTTATTGCAGTTAAAAAACCCACGGTGTTGTTCTTATTGCAGTTAAAAACCCACGTTGTTCTTATTGCGGTTAAAACCCACGGTGTTGTGCTTACTGCAGTTAAAATCCCACGGTGTTGTTCTTATTGCGGTTAAAACCCACGGTGTTGTGCTTATTGCAGTTTAAAAAACCCACGGTGTTGTGTTTATTGCAGAATCAGAAAACCACGGTGCTGTTCTTTATTGCAGATTTAAAAACTCACGGTGTTGTGTTTATTACAGAATCAGAAACCCAAGAGCTAAAAACCCACGATGTTGTGTTTATTACAGAATCAGAAACCCAAGAGCTAAAAACCCACGGTGTTGTGTTTATTACAGAATCAGAAACCCAAGGCGCTGTTTTTATTGCAAATTGCTGTATGATTACAGAGTATAAAAAAAAAGAGAAAAAAGAAAGGAAAAAGAAAAAAAAAAACTACAGTGCTTTATTAACTACAGCAAGAGAGGCCTTCGGAGCTGTGTTGGTCAGGTGTCAGAAGACATGTCCTTTGCTGGAAATAGCTGCTGAGCCCAAGAAGGGATGGAGGTGGAAACGGGAACAGCTGGAGACGTGGATAAACAACGAAGAGAAGAGAAATATACAAGTACCAGGCTGAGCGACGAAATGTGTGACGAAAAGTCATCACCCACACTAGATGCATCTGATCCTGTTGTGGGACCACGGAACCCCGTCTTATTGGCTGAAGTCCCGACACATGGTGATGACTCCTTGGCGTTGATGCCCAGTACTGGAAGGTGCCATCAGTATCCTTACGGAAGCTGTGCAGAGTATGTGCAGTGACATCTTCACATGGCATTTCTACGGCATCATTGCCTATTTACAGTGCAGTGGAGATTACCGTGTGTGGGACATAGAGTTTTGGGGGCATCTTTACCTGATGATTTTCTGTCTATTGATCCTGACAGATATATAATACAGAGTCAGTTATATTATACTAAAGCTTGTTTTGCTGAGCACTGGAGAGGTTTTTCATCTCGGCGCCCAATGTCCTAGGAGGAATCCAAGTTCTGTGGACACACAGGGTTGTATTCTCTCCCTGTGATTAGGGACGTGGAGTTTTTTCCCTTGTCCAGCAGCAATACAGCTAAAGAGAGACAGTTGAAGTCATCTCGAAATCATTAGGGAGGAGACCTTGTACTCATTGTTGAACAGCACACTCCCAGGGACCAGTGGAGGCTTGGGAGAGTGATGGGGGCTATAGCTGGTGAAGATGGTCTCGTGAGAATGGCCAAAGTTTTATAATCCTCATCAGACCACTGTGAAGTTATGCCTCTTGGAAGCATCATTATCCAGAACGACGGGATTATATGTTGCTCCACAGCGGAGCAAAAGGGGGGAGTGTAGCCGCTGGTATATCATGTACTTCATATCAGCAGCTGGTATATCATATATTTCGTTTATCACGTATTCCGTAACAATACGGAGAGGCCTGTATGGTATAAATTTATCTTCTGTGTCATAACCGCTGGGAAGGCGACGGCGAGTACCACCGGGTCAACACATGGTCTGTATCAGCCGTAAGAGCTGACCTGTCAAGAAACGTGTTTGTGTGAGGGGTCGTGCCATAGGAAGTGGTGACGGCTCTTCAGATGATCGATGCTGTGAGATAGCAAGACCGCGACCTAACTAATGTATAACATGTGAAGTAGAATGTTACTTGGCGTCGTAGCCTGTGTATGTTTATAGTGTGAGGGCAGTTCGAGGGGAACCTCTGTGCCGTCGAGACGCCCATACCATTCTGGAATCAGACCAATAAGCTGATATTCTGACTGTTCCCGCAAT